ATCGATGTATCGATATAATTCTCAAATATCATTGATTCGTGAGCTATGCTAATGACGATGTATCGACATCGAGTTACAAAATGTCACCCTGCTTGTTCCCAATAGTATCGAATCTCTAATTATGGCGAATATGTGTAAAGTGAAATTGTTGCAAAGGAAATAACAATAATACAAATCTATCAATAAGCCGTATATTCAATTTAAGTTATTTGGCCAAAAGAAGTACGTATTGAACACAGTAGGCTGCAAAGAAACTGGCAACTCCACTGGCATATATTCATTTAATTTATTTTTGTTTGTCTGAATCATTTTGTTGTCTGCTTCAAAATAACACCAGCAACAACAACACATAATTTTCTTCTCATTCCATACAAAAAAGTTAATAAAAAGGCGACAAAAGCAAGGCAACGCGACACAACGCATTTGTCCCAATCGTTTATCCAAAATTTTCAAGTTCCACTTGCAAAAACAATTTCAATATGTGTGAGTGCCGCTGCTCACCTTGAATCCGTAGTCGTTGTTGTTTTCCCCTCCCGTACGCGTTAACATATACAAGATATTGACCCTGTACGCTTGATTCACATACATACATATAACATTTAAGCACTCACATACACTCTCAAGCGTACACATACACCCATACATACGTACATACCAACAAAAGTCGCTGCATAGAAACATTTTTCATTTGGTAGGTGAACAAATGACCACTGCTGCCTCCACATCGCAAAATGCGTCATCGACGTTGATGGCCGCTGCCGGAGCTGGCGGCGCAAGCTCCACGACGACAGCAACGCTGTCAACGACGCCCAGCAGCTCAGCGGTACGTGCCCTGGCCATGGAATACAAGTCCCTGCAGGAGGAACCAGTAGAGGGATTTCGCGTCAAGCTCATTAATGATGATAATCTGTTTGAATGGGAGGTGGCTATCTTTGGCCCACCAGACACGCTATATCAAGGTGGCTATTTCAAGGCGCACATGAAATTCCCACACGATTATCCGTACTCGCCGCCAACCATACGCTTCCTCACCAAGGTGTGGCATCCGAATGTCTACGAGAATGGCGACCTTTGTATATCTATACTGCATCCGCCTGTCGATGATCCTCAAAGTGGTGAGCTGCCCTGCGAACGCTGGAATCCGACCCAGAACGTGCGCACCATTCTCCTCTCAGTCATTTCGCTGCTCAATGAGCCCAATACATACTCGCCGGCCAATGTAGATGCCTCGGTGATGTATCGTCGATGGCGGGACTCCCAGGTAAGCAAAGTTGGAATTTTATTACTATAATCTATGCTCAAGTATATACTAACTGTATTCTTATATGTAATGCAGGGCAAAGACAACGAATATCCAAACATCATACGCAAGCAGGCGTTGGCCGCCAATGCGGAAGCCAAGCGAGAGGGTATTGTGGTGCCTATGACCCTGGAGGACTATTGCCTTAAGCCCACTGTTAAGCCTAGCACAGAATCTGGCCTGGATGCAAATTTCTATGATGATGATTTTGACTTGGAGACGGAAGATTTGCCAACAGACTCGGATGAGGATGAGGACGATGAGGATGAGGAGGATGAAGATGATGGGGAGGACGGCGGAAATGGGGATAGTGCAGCAATTAGCAAAAATAATGTCAATACAAAGTGCACGAACAACAATGGTCTCTCCGCGAAATCAGTTACGGCATCTGCAACAGATGATGCCGAGTCCGCTGACGACAGCGGTAAGGGCGAGACAACATAATGCAGATACACCCGCTCCGCTCCGCTCAACTCCATCTCCAACTCAACTCTGCTCCTGCCCTAGGCGTCTACGTAGCATTTAAATGAAATACTAAGTGTGCAAATGAATCGAGTTAAACAGCTAGGAGGCGCCCCGGATGCCAAACGAGCTGGCGTCTTATCATTTCTCCTAACACAATTATTAATTTTGTACTTTTAATTTGTGTACAATTGTAAAACTGAAACGTGAATCACTTATTAGCTGGCTTTTATTTCTCAGCTAGCCTCTGGCTAGGCACGTTTTGAATCCGTTCATAGAGTTTCAAGAGCTTGCGATTCCTTTTACAGCAACTAAATAACACTCAAAACTGATAATGATTATACAAGATATATATACAATATACATATGTATTAGCTATTAATTATTATTTAAAAATATACATACAATTACACACATCCGTATGTGCTTGTATATGGTACAGATCATTAACGGGGGGCGCTACAGATGCAAACAATTTTAACGTGAACTAACCTCCTCCTAGAAAGCGAGAGACCTCCTAACAAAAGCTAAACTAATAAAAGAAACAACATAATTTACAATCAACGGATTTCAACAATATAAAGCAAATATTAAACGTAGCAATTAAGCCATTTGTAAGTGCAAAATTGAAAAACAAAACACCAATTGCAATATTAAAATGAGAAACTGCATTGTGTAATTAATTGCAAAGATAAATAAGCCAAATAAAATTATAAAAAAAAAAACTCATGTGTCTATTTTAAACTGCGAATAATGGAAAACATTCTCAAGTCAGTTAAACTGAATAGTAAAAGGACAACTTAATAATCTGCTAGTAAATATAAAACTTCAGTAAATATATTATTTGCTACATCAGTATGTTTTAAAAACTTCATAAATATATTTTTAGGATTGAGACAACACTCGAAGTAAATTTAAAATCACGATTACTGTATTTGATATCACGATTCGTGCTTCCAAGTTTATCTCAATTAATCGATCGACTGTGACAGTAACAAAAGTTGTTAAACCTCTAATTTATTTCTTAAATTTCGAAATATTTTAGATTTGAGTTATGAGTTTGGCTCGTTTGCGCCATGCAAGAAGCGCTGGAGTAAGATCCTTATCCTTAATGGTAGGCATGCGTATCAAAGAGCTATAGACGCCAATGTCTGCCACAGACATTTGATTGCCGCCAAAATATTGCTGATCATTTAGTCGCTTGTCGAGCAGCCGAACCATGGCCACTTGGCTCTTGTGTGTGTTGCACCGCAGCAGTTGATAGCAGATGTCTAGCACAGCATCGATTTCATTGCAGAGAGGCGAGTTCTCATAGCGATATTCTGCGGGACCCACTCGTCCCAGGTATCTGATGATATTCACTTCACCATATATGGGCACATACATTGTGGGCGAGCTGAGCATCTCGGTGTGTTCACCTGATGATATATTAATTATTTAAAATAAGTATATTACAATGGGATTTTAGTAAAACAAACTTACAGTTCTTCCAGATTAGTGTTACTTTGATCTTGGGCAACGATTCGTTGACTTCTATTTTGGCCAAATTAGACTCAAATTCGCGCGCTGCTGGTCCAATATCTGCCATAGTCGAGTGTGTAAATGTCTTCACATCAATTGTGTACAAATCACGCCAAGCGTTCTTCAATGCCAGCAGTGCATATGGTATAAAGTTGGGATGCCCATTAACGACTACATCATGCAGTGGTACCTATCGAAAAGCAATTCGTTAGCTTCCGTAATTTAAGCCATTTGGACTACCTCCTATATTACCTCTTTAAGTCCGCCGTTATTACAGGCTGCCGTCTGCTGCACGCTCTTGTCGCACACTTTGACACCCAAACCTTCCCGCATAAGACTCAATTGTGCTTTCAGCTCCTCCAGCTGTTTCAACACCTTCTCTTGGCGCTGCAAAATTGCTGCCGCGTCTGCGTTCTGTAAATAGTACAAACAAATTACATCATTGCAGGATAGCCGATTTATAAACTAAGAAATAAACCAAAATAGAGATGGGCGCGTGACAATTTGACTATGGCGATCGCAGTGCCTTATAAATGAAATTAATGTTTTCGTTTACTTAAGAAGCCACACTTATTGTGATGATTATGAGTATTTATTTAAATCACCACACTTTTGACATAGAGCTTAAAACGGAATTCGATGGGAACACACACTTAACTATAAACAACACGTATTATCATGCGCCCATTTCCAAGAGGAACACACAAATGCAAAAGTACGGTACGTGTTATGCAGTTTTGTTAGTATTGTTTATAATTAGATTTGAATATTTTTATAACCTTTAGTAAATGTTGTATTTGTTTGCCTAAAATGTCCAAATCAAGTGCACAGGTGGCCGATTTTGAATTGTTCCTTTCACTCTTTGCAGCGCCATTGCATTGAATTTGACGGGCCTTTTTCGAAATCATACATTGAATGAAAATTAATGTTTTTGTTTTTAATTGTTTACGAAGTTGAGTTATTTAATTTTTGATAATCAATTATAAAGCAATTCACTGTCACAGTGAATTTCTGCTGTTCACAACAATGCGCATCTCTAATTTTGGCCACGGCAGCTGGGGACAACACACTTACTTCAGGGCATGGCGCAGATCCAGCAGAGAGGCTTACATTCCTTAATTCGTACATACAGGTAGGCAGTTTAATATCGAATTGCGGCAACAAGGTTTTCAACTCGTACATTTCACAATCCAAATTTGGATAAGCTTAAGCAGATCTAACACAGAAAAATGTGCTTGGCGGTAGTGTTGAGTCAAGTCTATTATCGAATCGTTGTACTTACGATATATTATGCAAATGCAATCGATAACGATAGCTAGCGGCCAGCTGATTAACATTAATCAAAATATTTAAATGCTTAAAAATAATATTTTTTATTCAGCAACTGATAATATATTATATTTATCCACTCTTGTTAGGTTAATGATTCAGCGTAGAGAATTTATCATTATGCCTATCCTACAAAATAGTTTGTATCATAAGCATTACAAATAAAATTTTCCAGCTCAGAATTAAAAATTACGTAGTTATCGCCACATTGTTAATTGCAGACAAATCTGGAGGATATCAACGAAGAAATTTTGTGTATTAAATTACAAAAAAGTGACCGCACTTCGTAAATATTTGAATAAAGCAACAACACTATTTATACACAATTTAAATATAACTGCTTAAATAGCTTATCGATATATCGATAGCTGTCAGTCGTATAGTAGAGGCGAAAAATAATTATACAAGTTGGCAGTCACATATATTATGGCGTCTATATTTTAAATTACGAGAACAGTAATATTTATCTAACAAAACAAAATGAATAATAAGAAAGCAAGAAGTTCGGTGAGTAAAATATTAAAACACATAAGCAGAGGCTATAAAAAATCTCTTATTCTAGCTTAAGAAAGTGTCGAAACTGCCAGATGAAGAGGCTGATCATGTACGGACAAAGCGTCGCATCAGTTTCAGCGGCAAAAAGTTTATACGGTACGTATTATGCATAATATAAACGAATTCTTCTAGTTACGGAGCTCTTTTCCAAATACAGAGAATTTGATACAACAGAAAAAGCGCGAGACTATGACAACTCATATGAAATATCAGATCACACCAATGGAGAGGACAGCTCCGGGCACTCCCATGGCACAGTAGCAGCGTCTGTTTTGCAAAGTACAGCACATCTCTATGTGGCCGATGAGACGGATAAGGAAAATGCATCTCCCGAAGGTCTCATAGCTGCCGTCAACAGTGCATCAGTATTGGAGCAGAATTCGCGATTCAGCGATTTCACATTCAAATTGCAGACAAGCATCAATGTGACGCTGCTGCCGGATGAACTAAACCGAAACCGGCGTCGCAATGAATCGCCACCCCGATTGGAGCAAACGGTCAGTGACAGTTTATCTTTGAATGAAATAGAACGTGAGAAGCTGAGAGAAAATAGTGTATACAAAATGACAGTTTTAGAAAAAACTGTGGATCTTATGCCAGAAACGTTAGCTTATGCTGGGGTGAGTTGAAACTGGTGATAAGAGTTACACTGAAATTAAGAAATGCTAAGTACAACTTTAATATGATGTGAAGAAAATGTACTTTGATTCTCATATATACAGATCTTGACTAATTTCTGGTTTATTACAGTTGCAGCCAAACCATATCGAAAAAGTCAACATGCAAAAAACTACTATAATGTCTACAGACATAAGTGTTTTACCTGAAAAGCAAACTGAAGTGAAGCAAAAGACAATGGTATTTGAGAACAAAGATATAACGTGTGACTTTAGTGATATTGGTAACTACAATTATATAGAAATCTGACAGACTTTAGATAAATATATCAATTCCTTTATATCACAGAGCCAAAAGGGATGATTGAAGATGTGCCGAAGGCAACTCAAGAGACTCAAGAGAATTTATCTATGGATATGGCAGAACAAGACTATATTAACTATTTGGCAGATGATTCAACGTTGTCATCGCCTTTAATTCCATTAGACGTCATTTCAGAGAACGGCATTAGCAAGAAACTGAACTTTCGGCAATTGAACGATGCATTGAATTCTGGCCGCATACAGCTATTTCCCAATGGTCCAAGAACTCCAACTACTGATCGCAAAGGCAATCAGCGTTTCTGGCATGGATTGGAACAGCAACCCATGGAAGAGGAAGTTCCAGATAAAGTAATGATCAAGCCGCGCGGAACACTCAATTTCAATGAGAGCATGATGATGTCGCCCGCCGTTCCACAAAAGTCCGAAACAAAAGCAGACCATGCAGAGCAACATGTGAACGCGAAGACCTCCCTCAATGCTAAGCGCAATTATCGTTTCTCTCAGGCAGACGAATTAATGCTGGATAACACAAATTTTCTAGTTAATGCCAAAATGGGCGATGAAACACACTCACGAAATAACTCCAAGTGTTCATCGCGGCGTGAAACAACATACGATAATACTGCCATGGAATTGGATGACCTAGAGAAGCATGAGGCAGCGGTTGCAGCAGCTCTGGAAGGTGCAAAACTTAAGCAAACCATGCATGAGCCAATGGAGCAAGATCATTTCTTAAGCCCCTGCAAAAATGTGAAGAACAATTTGACGACGCCAGCTGTGGCTCAACAATCCAATCAAACACATTTAAGTTCTCAGGAAGCAGTCGTAGCTCAACACCGCACCAAGTCAAGGCCAACATTGCTCATGGCTGAGCCCATTGAAGAGGATGAGGCTAAACCAAATTCCGAGTCTTCAGCTTCTAAAACAAAATTCAATGTTCGCAGGCAAACATTGCATTTGGCAGAGGCCATGGATGAAGATCTTGAAATGCCAAAGCTGGAATTGCAATCAAATGCAATCAATAATCGTCAGCAGACATTACATATGGCTGATTTCATGGACGAAGATTCGTTTTGCTCAAAGAAAGAAATTGATGCTGCTTCTATGAAACCCAATTCCAAAAAGCAAAGGCAAACATTGCACATGTCTGAGCCAATTGATGAAGAGAGCGTAAGGCCACAAAAGGAATCACAGGCAATGCCCGTTGTTGACAAGGATTCCAGCAGACGTAGGCAATCTATACACTTACCCGAACCAATTGAAGAGGACTCATTTTGTGTGCCAACTTCTGCACCAAGGGAAGTGCATCAGAACAAGAACAGACACACAATGCACATGTCCGAGCAGATTGAAACGGATTACGTACAGTCACGGATTACAGCTTCTGCAGAAATTGTACATCAGTACACTAGACATCGACAGACATTGGTCTTGTCTGAATCCATTGAAGAAGTTGCTGTTCAGCCGCAAAGAGAGGAACCATTAAAGCCAAAATCCAATGCAGGGGCACCGGAGGGCACCAGGCGTAGGCAAACAATGCATCTGTCTGATCCAATTGAAGAAGATTCCTTTTGCTCAACATCCACGTCTGCCGAACAACATAGGGAAACATTACAGAGGAATAAGAAAGATGATGTAAAACCTCAAGAAGTGAAGTCAAAGTCAGCACCTGCTGAGGCAGACTCTCAATATAATAGACGCAGACAAACTTTACATCTGGCTGATCCAATTGAAGACGATTCAATGTGCTCAACATCCGCAGCTACCAAGCAAAGCAAGGAAACCAATAGACGCAGGCAGACTTTACATCACACTGATGACATTGAAGAAGATCCCTTCTGCTCAACATCCACAGCTGGCAAACAGCATAACATTGATGGAGGCAATCGACGTAGACAAACATTACTTCAGGAAGATCCCATTGAAGAAGATCCAATCTGCTCAAGATTACAAACTGAAAAGTCAGTTCATGCAGCTAAGTTGAATCTACAATACAATCGACGTAGACAAACATTACACGTAGATGATCCCATAGAAGAAGACTCCTTCAGCCTAAAATCCACATCAGCCCATCAGCATAAGCATAATTTACAGAGAGATGCCACCATGAAGGAAGAGAAGTTAAAGCATGAAGTAACTGTCAAACAACAATCTGCAGCTAACTTGCAATGCGTCCAACGTAGACAAACATTGCATCTAGCTGAACCCATTGAAGAAGATTCAATCTGCTCCATATCCGGTGCCCCCAAGCAGCAATGGGAGGAATGCAATCGCCGTAGGCAAACTGTACATCACGCAGACCCCATCGAAGAGGATCAATTCGATTCGACAGTCCCTGCTGCCAATCAGCATAGACATCAACTACGAGGAGTCGAGATAGTTGAGCAAGCAGACAAAGAGGCAACATCAGCTGCCTCTCTTGTTGATAGGCGTAGGAAAACCATTACACAGGCTGACCCCATTGCAGAAGATTCCTTTAATTTAACATCGCTCTCTGAAAATCTGCATAAGCAAAATTTACAAAGAGATGCTCCAATTGAGGAAGGTATATTGGAATCTAAGAATGAAATGAAGCAAACCGTTAGCCTTAAATGCAATAATCGTAGACAAACAACTCACGTGGCTAATCCCATCGAAGAAGATTCCTTCAATTTAGCACCACCCTCAGATAATCTACATAAGCATAATTTACAAAGAGATGTGCCAAGTAAACAGAATGCTCCTGAATACAATACCCGTAGACAGACAACTCACCTGGCTGATCCCATCGAAGAAGATTCCTTCAATTTAGCACCTTCTGAGAATTTACATAAGCATAATTTGCAGGGAGATGCGCCAAGTAAGCAGAATGCTCCTAAGGTTGACCTGAAATACAGTAACCGTAGACAGACGACTCACCTGGCTGATCCCATTGAAGAAGATTCTTTCTGCTCAACATCCAACGCTGTCTATCAGCAGCAAGGGAATGCGGGAATTGAGAAGGATATCTTAAAGATGGAGAAGGAAGTAAAGCAGTCACATCGGCCTAGGCAAACGTTGCATGTGGTTGATCCCATGGAGGAAGACTCTTTCTGTTCAAAGTCAACCGTTGGGTCCAAAGGCAATCACTTCAGCAAATATAGAGCAACAATGCTGACCACAGAAGCCATCGATGTCGATCAGAATTTATCTCCCACACATACAGTTGCTCCAGCTAAAAAAGAAAGCATCAGACATAGACAAACTCTACTCATGACGGAGTCCATTCTGGAGGAGGATAAAGCAAACGCAAACAACGACAGCAACTGCAAGCAGTTGCCCAGCGAAACATTAAATCTAAGTGAAGCCCTTGACGAAGTCAAGTCATCAAAGGAGGCTGCCCAAAGCCAGCGCTTGGCAAGCAAACCAAGGCAGACACAATACCAAGAGGAAGCCATGGATGTGGAGATGTCAAATATGGAGTGCACTGAGCAGCGCGCCAGCAGACCCAAGCCCAAACTGAGGGAAGCTGTGCTGAGGAACGATCTCTTACGTAAAACTCTGGATAAAGAAAACGTTTTTATCAGCTCCAGCTTCGAAACGCCTGAAATGAAAAAGAAGCGTCAGATGTTTGCCCTCACACCAGGTCGATCAATGATTGAATTCGAAGACTTGGAGGAGGATTGCAAGATCAAGACTCCAGCTGGAAAAACTGCTTGCCGATCCATATACCAGGCGATGGACATGGAGCTAGACATGGACACATCAAACTACGCCACGCCCGAGAAGAAAACTTCGTTCAATGTGAAACGCCTGCCAATACATTTGACACCCAATTTGCCGGAACCGAAGAAGCGCAACCTGCAGCTGCATCTGGACATGGAGGAGGAGAATATGTAAGTATTATCTTCGCTTAGACATCGATGGGATCTTATTTGTGTTTATTATTTTATTATTATTAGCTCGCAGCCTGAACTGGAAACATCAGAGCAACAAGTGGAGGAATTGGAATATCCAACGAATAGGTCACGCATTCCCGTTTTGTGCAAAAGCTTGAATTCGCCTTGGCGTGAAACGGAGCAGCTGGATGGCACCGTGCAGATGGTTAGAGCACAAATGATTCGCCAAACGGGTAGCCACGGAATGGCAATTCCACACTTCATGGAGCATAAAATGAACAAAGATGCAACGGTCTATGAAGATAATCCCATTACCATATCTGATGTGTCGAACCATTTCAAGTCACAGCGAGAGTTGGCCAAGAACTTAGCTGAGCAGCGCCAGCAACCCAAGGAGACATCCATTGAGAGTCGCAACTCGAATGAGCTCAGCAATAAGAGCTACGCTACGGCCCATAAGAAGTTCATAAATCTAAGTGGTGATACCATAATCTTTAACAATATGGATGATCTTAGCGATAAGTCGGACAATTGTGAAATTGACAAGACACGACTCAGTCTGGTGTCGACCTTGCTGGACGAGGCGGACGACGAGCAAATCCGAGCAGCTAACAGCAGCCACATTGACTTGGTGAACAATGAGACATGCCTTGGGCAGCTCGATCCGCCAGTCGTGGCTGGAGCTGAGGATGCGTGCAAGAAGTGCAAACATTGCCGGCGGTCCATGGACAGAACGAGGACACGTAGGAGCGCTGAAGAGACATTTGAGTTGCCCGTTTGGCCGGACCTGGGCGTGCAACTTGAGCGTCTAAAGCGTCTGCGACAAAAGCCACGCATATCAGATGTCCACAAATATTGGGAGCTCAAGAAACTGGAAAATAATTCCGATGATGACGAGCACGAGGAGACGGAAACGGAATGCGATTCACGTAACACAAGTCGCTTAAGCTTGCTGCAAATGCAGGAGATGTTCAACAGCAAGTGGGAGGAGTAAGTAAAATAAAATATATGCAATAGAATGAAAAAATCTAATATTATTTTTCTCTTTTCTCTTCTAGATACGCACAAAGCTTGCCCCAGCCCAAGCCAGCGGAAACGTTTGCAAAGTGCTTAAAAACAGCATTGCATGCTGAGCTGCCCAATTGGATATTTGATTCTAATCTGCAAATCTATCGTACCTACATATTCTCCCATCGTAAAATAACCACCTTTAAAATCTATATGTGTTATGAGCCGTTGGACTTGTTGGAAACCAAAATACGCGTAGGCAACATTCAACTAGAGTCAAAATACGCACCTCCCTCACGTAAGTGATGAGCAAAGGCATTCCAATTTGGTTTAACCTTAAAGCTTAAATGTCTTTTTAGCTTTAAAGACTGCTTTTGCTGAGCTGTTGGACTTTCAACTTAAACTTAATCTGCCGCTGAATCTGGATCGGCTGTTGGACGGCAATGATGTGGCAGATCTTGTCAAATTTCTAAAACACATCGATGGAGTTTGTTTGCAAACCACTAACATATGCAGGAAACTGCTCTTAACCATAATTACAGCAAATGCGCGCCTAATCAGGTAAAAATAATCATTTTCATAAGTAATTTACTTAATTAATTTGATATTTCTATTATTAGTGATTCCAATCGGATTATCGTGAGAAAAACTGTGCGCAGATCAGTTAAGAAAGAGGATGAGGCATATGCGCGCACAGAGAGAATCCATTTTAATATTCAAATTGGTAATGTTCAGGAGATCTCATTTGAGGATATTTTGCAGCCGCCGCTGCATCAATTCGATGAGAAGATTCGATTTTTGCCTAGGGGCATAGAGTTTTTGAAAGCCTTCTTGCATAGCCCCGAACAATATTTAAAACACAACGTCGACTACAATAAATAATATTCCAGTGCGGATGTTTCGATGAGCCAGCAATATAACCAAAATATCTTATATATATTATCGTCAAGATAAATGTATAATTTTATATATCAATGATAAGCACTTCTGTTTTTTTTTTTTTTTTTTAAAAAAAAAAAATTATACATTTAATTAAATAATAGTTGTATAAATGTTAAATTAATATAAAAATAAAATTCAATTCTGATTTTCTTGTTTCTAATGTTTAAATTAAATATTTGGATTTTAATGTTAACGGCCTTGAAAAAGTTCACCATTGAGTTTAGTATTTAGATAGTGTTTCAGTATTTAAATCAGTTTGCAAGCTGGTCACATTCCTGTTGTGGAAGTCATCAAAACAAAAATCTTGTAATTGTAATAAAATATAAACGCCTAAACTGGGCAAATATATTGGACATGTGGTTTGATCCTTCGGGCTACTATGTGGTGGCCTTGACCACTCTGTTGTTATGTATTCTAATAGCTCTTTATTTTGCCAACTTTTTAAAGGACGATGCCGTGAGTAAAGAATTGTTAAAAGCCAACCCCTTCAGAATCATAATTCATATACTCGATGCAGGACCTGGAGGACGAAGGCCTTGGCGCTGACGAAGTACGCTTGGAGGACGATCCCGAGTTGAAGGCACAGATGCAAGCGCGCCTGCAAAGTGAGATCGATGATGACGAGGCGTACGAGGAAGAGCAGGAGCCGATGAGCGAGAGCGACACGGAGCCGGGACCAGGAAGGGCGCCCAACTATAGCAACCTGGTGGGCAAATTCAAGGCCAAGCGCTACCAGCACAAGCTGGAAAAGAACCTGTCGCCCAGCCAGATAGAAGAAGAGCGACGCATTGAGCGCGAGCAATTGGCGGCCATTTTCGAGCTACTGCGCAAACAGGAGGATGAACTGAATCTCAAGGATCGCATTAGCGATCGCGAGCTGAAGCAACAAGTTAAATTATATCGTTAGACTGTTCGATGTCGGCTTTAATCTTACTAAAACGTGTGATTATATCGCTTATGTGTATAGTATCTGTTTGCCGCTTAACTTACAAAATGTGGGCTGGAGCCTTAATGTAAACTGTTGACCCCAAAGTCCTGGCGAGTAAACAATTTACAATTTGTAGTCAAAGACACTTAGATTTTATTCCATATATATATATATTTATATGATGTATATACGCTATATAACGAGTATTAACTAACTGCGAAGCGTGTGCTTAGGCTAACTTAGCCCAAAGGATGTGAAATTTAATTTCAACTAATTATTATCCAGTTATTTTATTCCAAATAGAATCTGAATGTACAAAATGTTGAAATGAAATTGCCTATTATTTATTTATCCCATTTATCTAATTGCGGGTAATGCTCGACATCCACCCCAAGTTTTAAAACTTAAGAATAATAAGCACTGCAACCCCTTGATAGTTTCTCTTAGAAGGAACCTAGCAACCGGAGCCAGTTTAGTTTCCATGACAACAGGAAAGTTGTTTATTTGAAGTATTATCCACATCATTTTCACTCGACGATCTTCTTGAGAAGTGAATAGTTTAGTAATTCAGTTAAATCATTTTAAAAATCTATAAATATGGTCAACTTTGTATATCCCGAGGAGCTTTACTTGTTTGTGGAGAGCATTCGCTGCTTCCAGGTGCGCGATGTGGGCAGCAACAAGTGGCTGGAAGTGCACGAAATGATCATCAAGCTGAGCCAGCAGGCGGCTCTGGAGGTGGCCGAACAGCGTGAGGAGGAAGTCAAGGAGTTTCTCATATCCCGGGACAAGCTCTCGGTGCTTATCAATGAGGCCTATTGCGTGAATCTCTGGAAGTCGCGTGTGCTGCCTCATTTGCTGGAAATTGATCCGAACCCACAGGCCACATTCCTGATTTACACCGTGCTTTACCATGAGGCGGCAGTGGTGGCACTGCTGGATCTGTGCCTCTACCATCCCAGTGGCTGTGAGTCACTGCAGGATTCGGTGCTAGATCTGATCGACTATGCGGCCCAAGGTGTCGCCCAGGTCATCGGCTTGGTCAGCATGGGCTATCACGAGAACGAGACCAAAGTAGATGTGGACGAAGCCGTGCTCACAGAGCTCGAGCGCCAGAAGCGCGATCTCATCTATAAGATTGGGCTGCGTTGCGTGTCCCTACTCAGCTACCTGGCCGACAACGTGTCTCTCTTCCACTTGGGCGCAGCTCGTCGAATGCTGACCACCCACGATGTACCCTGGCTGATGGTAGATGTGCTTTGCTTCAGGCCCTGGCAACGCAACACCAGCAAGGGCTTGGAGAAGTATATTGATGAAAAGTGGACTTCCGTGGAGGATGCCACTAAAATCATAAAGACGGAAGCCCAGGCCTGGTTCTGTGTTCGCCAGCTGCTGCTCTCTCCCCAGATAGCCGATAACTATCCCCTGAACGAGGCACGTTGCAAGCAAATATCAAAGGTAAAATATGCTATAGGACTTTAGAATCCTTTCTAAATGCTTGTTATCACAGCTTCTGGGCATGCTACATGAGACGCTCTTGGATCAGCTGCCCGTGCTGATCGAGCTCAAGCACTTCGTCAGTCGCTTGACAATTAGCGGCACAACCGGCAAAAAGACTCAAAACTTGATTTTGGAGGACATGCCACAGATACAGGATAATCTCATCAAGGAGGTGGAGCGTGACGGCGGCTTCTACCAGGTCGCTCAGAACCAGGATGGCGTCTTCCTCAACAACAATCGTGAAGAGATCTGTGCACTGGCTACCAAGCTGACCAATGCCTACGGCACCGAACTATTGTGTGAATTGGAGCAGCACATGGCAGATTTGGAACTGAAAAAGGATGAATCTAAATCAGAGGACAGCGCAACGGCTACCACTAGCGAGGACTCGGAGGAAAAGACTCACAAGTGCGGCAACTGCCAGGTGCCGGCCAAAAAGAAGTGCGCCAACTGCAAGCTGGTTCACTATTGTTCACGGTACGTTCCACAGATTAGCGCTCGAATTTTCACAATTAACTTTCCTTCAAATTGCAGAGAGTGCCAGCTAAAGGATTGGCCACAGCACAAGGAAACCTGCTTGAGCTGCGTCGATTAGTTTTTATCATTTCATTTGTATTATTGATATTAATTATTAAATAAAGAACATTCCAAAAATTGCGAACGCCTCCAGTGTTTGATTGTGAGTGTTAGTTTTTCGTTAAGTTTTTGTTTTTATTTAGCAATAAAAAATTTGCCAGGTAGTCTCTCATTCAGCAGACAGGGGAACAGCAATGGCAACATGTTTAACTGTTCTGTCTGAGATGGTCCTTAACTACATCCAATGCGGGCGTCTCCTCACCGTAGTCCTTGATGACGACAACAGAGCAGCCGCAGACCTTGCGGGGCTTGCCCTCCTTGTCGATCTTGCACAGGCCGGACCATTCGCCCAATTTCTTGTGCGAATCGACGCGGATCAGTGGAATCTGATGCTCATTGCACAAGGCAGTGATCAATTTCTTGTAGTTGGGCTCATCAAAGGATTCGGCCAGAATGCAGAGGACAGCTTGACGCCTGTAAAACAAAATGAAAAAGTTAATTATAATGGTTTACAATAATTCGTGTATTTATTGATTGAATTTAAGGTGTTTTCAGTAATTGGAAGAATTGATAATCAATGTAAAATTCATAAACACGGACCAATTAATTTCATCAGCAAAAAAATAAAAAACTAAACTATGAATTGTTTTTGCTTACTTGTCCAATGCCTTGCAGGCCTGGTGGATGCCATGGACGAGTCCATCGGCGATCAGCGACTTCTTCAGCACTTCCTGTAGCGCGGTGTTTATGTCCATGGCGCCGCCAAGAACGGGCGCTGCGGAGGGCACATCTCTACCGGAAATAAAGAAAATATTTCAAATTAATAATCAAATCTATAAATTATCACAGAGCTTTTAGCTCAATACTTATTTCAAAGAATTTGCTCAGTAATTGGAAGGTTTCTAATCAATGTTAAATTCATAAACACGGACCAATTAATTTCATCATAGTGAAACACTGTCAAGTTAATATTTTATTGTTTTCTGCACTTACACATCAACGTCGGCCATATCTGAAAGGTTGAGGCTGCACTGCACTGTAAATGATATTAATAAAACTATTATTAGATATGATGCCGTACATAATTGTAAATTAAATTCTTCGTAGCGACTTCAGCACAAAATTAATACGCTTTCGTACCTATTTGACAACCGGAAAGAAAGAGAGCCGAGCCGCGTTGCAGCTAACTTCATGTTTTTGGCTTTAGTGATGTTTTGACATATCGATATCAGCTGTTTACCTGAAATAACATTCAAAAGCTAGTAGCTATAACACACAGGGAAACTGCTTTTGAATTACTAGACTGAATGAATTTAAAACATTCCCTTTTTAATATCCTGCATCTTTATCTTTAACTATATTTTTATTTATTATGCATATTAACTCATTACTATATTGTTAAAAAAAATATTGTAAATATGCAAAAATGGGTACAATAGAAAAATACAATTTTGATCGTTATGAACAGGGTATTTTTTAGCATATTATCAACGGTTGGTTTTTGTGCCATTTTGCGCCCAAAATCTTTGGAGCCAATAAGCTCCCGCATCTCGTTAACAACGCTAAAAATAGCTCCTAATAAGTCTAATTAAACTAAGTCATAGGATATATAGTGATATAAAATCAATTGTAAGCTACAGCTTTCTAGTGCAACAACGTGTTTATGTTTACATAAGCCGACGGGCAACATCACAGCACCTTCAACAACAATAACAACAAAAAATGACAAGCAAACTACAGTAAGTTGAGTGAATCCGCCCCGGCTGCCCTCAGCTCGTGGTTTATGAATGTCTACAAATTCGGTCCACGTGTTCGTGTTGATTCGTGTTTCTAATTGTCGAAATTTACAGCAACATGTGAAGATCGTGTGCCATTGGCTGACGCTCTAGTTGGTGTCGTCTTTTATTTGTATGCTTTATGTTATCTGAATTGGATTCCGTACTTTTGATCCAATTGGAATGGGATTTCTGTATGAATGAATTTAACTAATATTTGCTAAAGGCATGCGACGCTCTGATAAGAAACATTCTTCTATACAAATACAACAATGCACTTCGTAAACAACACTGGCAACCAAAAAAAGCACCCAAGCTCAAGTTGATATCAATATACGACACAACGTACATACATATGTATTTGGATGATCTCTCTGTAATAATATAACATAGCTCTCGACACATTACACACAATATAGGCTTATATTATTCGGTATTTATTCAGTGTCATTAGCAGTGTGCACATCAATTTAGCCCGCACTGTAGCTTTATTTGGGGCTATCGCTTCGGTTCATCGGCAAATGATACTGAATATTAACATTAAAGCGGCAGGCGTTGATATTGGACTCGGTTTCAATTGCTAGTTAACGACAAGCCCTCGACTAGACAACATGAGCAACAAAAGCAACGCGAGGTTGCGTATCTATAGGGCGCATCATCAACTGTAGCCTAATTCTTTTGAATTCGATTTTATTTGCAGAGAAGGCATCCTGGTAGGATGTGGAAATCCCCTGCTGGACATTTCGGCACCTGTTCCCTTGCAATTCCTGGAAGGCTATGGCATGAATGTGGATGATGCCATATTGGCAGAGGAGCGACACATGCCCATTTACCGTGAGCTGGTCGATGGCTATCAGGCGGAGTACCTGGCTGGTGGCTCGGTGCAGAACTCCCTGCGCATAGCACAGTGGATATTGCGTCAGCCAAACGTTGCTGTCTTCTTTGGTTGTGTGGGCCAGGACGATTATGCGGATATACTGCGGGAAAAGGCGCGCGCTGCCGGCGTCGATGCCCATTATCAAGTGAGCCCAGACACGCCCACGGGAACATGTGCGGTTCTTATCACGGGCACGCATCGTTCATTGTGCGCCAACCTGGCGGCTGCCAACAAATTCACCATTGATCACCTGGAGCAGCCAGCAAATAAGGCGTTGATCGACAATGCTCAATACTATTATATCTCGGTGGGTAAACAATCTTCATATTCTGGCATACTTACTGATTAATCTATTGTGCAATCCTTGCGTACAGGGCTTCTTCTTGACCGTCAATCCGCCCAGTATAATGCGCGTAGCTGCCACAGCCAATGCCAAGCAGCGGCCGTTCCTAATGAACCTCAGCGCACCATTCATATCGCAATACTTCATGGAGCCGCTTATGGCGGTTATGCCTTATGTGGATATCATTTTTGGCAACGAAGCAGAGGCCCATGCCTTTGCCACGGCGCAAGGCTGGCCCGCCGATGCGGATCTGCGTGAGATTGGCAAACGTTTGGTGGCACTGCCCAAAATCAATTCAGAGCGACCACGCATTGCCATACTCACGCAGGGCTGTGACCCCGTGCTGCTCATCCAGCACGACAAGGTCCAGGAGTTCCCGGTCACACGTTTGGCGGTCCATGAAATTGTAGATACCAATGGCGCTGGGGATGCATTCGTTGGTGGATTCCTCTCGCAGTATGTGCAGGGCAAGTCGCTCGATGTTTGCATACGCTGTGGCAACTATGCGGCGGGTCACATTATCAAAAATCCGGGCTGCACATATTCCGGTGAGCCGGAGTTTAATGAGTGAAGACAAACCGGAATCACACACACTAACACAGACACAAGCACACACACACACAGAGACACAACGAGCACTCGCAGATAAGCCTGTAAGAGGCACTAAGCATGGCGCAAATCTATTTGCAATTAATGCAAATAAGTTCTAAACGTGACTAAGAAAATGTTGTTAACACTATTAATTATTTGTACATATTATGTATACACATGAACACACACACAAACACACATGCATATATATATATATACACAATGACAAACACAGTTGGCAACGAACATGTGAATTATGCACGGCCTTGTCGTTTATATACAATGTTAGAGCAATATTCGAATTTAAATTGATAATAAAATAACAAAAGCCCAGAAGCAAATCCTATTTAACCGTTGATTGGTGAGTTGACCTCTAAATGACCCCGAAGAAATCATAATTGATAATAATTGCTTAAGCTCGTTTCTTTTGGCAATTTGTCGTCTTTCGTTTGCATCCCTTTTGTGTTTTGTTACATTCGCTGTGTTTTGTGCGTTTTATGACTTTGGCTTTATTTAACAATTGAATCAGCGGCAGATTAGATACGGCACGATTACTGCTTTGAGATGTTGGGTGTGCTCAATTATCATAGTATATTTATTATTTATATTTTTTTTTTTTTCAATGTAATATATCACATCGTAGCAAGCTAATTTATGTCGCTCAGGTTTGTACAACCTGTTGATAAGCCTGCTTGTGGATTATCATTGACATATTGATAGAGTGGATCAGGGATTATAATCAAGCTTTAAAAAACATTGCAAGCTACTGAAGAAAAGACTTTCCACATACATACATACAGATAACAAAATGCATTACCTTATTCACACTTCTAAATTTATTTCATTGTTGCAAAATACAAAAAGATAATAAACAATAACGCTTAAATACATTCTTATACTTTTACATTTTGAGACACAATACAAATAGACTCGATAATAATTGAAAAAGGTTCGTCACTATATCTATTGTTGCTCTGTGCCCAAATTTCAAAAGGGGAAAATACTAAGATTAGATTTGTTGTTTGCTTTGCATTAACATTTGCATTTGCATTTGTGTGGATGACATTTGATCCCGTAAATATGATTCCTAGTCAATCAGATAGCCTTTGATGAAGGGCAGCCCCGTTGGCACTTGCTTCTGATACCGTGCGTAGTCAGACTGAAAGAAGTAGAGCAGCGAATACTCCTCAACGTATATGCGATCGTGAAAGAAGAGCCAGCTGACTAATGCATAAATGCAGATGCACAGCGGGTTCATCAAGATTAATTGTGTGCCAATTGACCAGTAGAACCAGCCCACATAGGACGGATGCCGGCTGTACGCGTATACGCCGTGGGTTATCAGCTTGTGATCCGAGTGCTTCTCATCCTGCACCTATTTGAGAACACATTAGATTATAAATAGCCATTTCTACAGGAGATAAGCACTTACTAAATGCGTAAAACTGCGACCTGCTGTGATGATTGCTGTCTTTCGTACAATCTCGCCGAAAGTGCAT